ATGATGATGATGATGATGATGATGATGATGATGATTTATGCAGCTGAACTCCGTCTCTTGGAAATGAACTCAGGTTAATGTACTTACGAGATCCCGGGCCTCAAACACAGCCGTTCTTCTGGCTCTGATTTGTGCCTGCGGTACGTGGCTCTCACGAGCAGAAGATATCCAGAGGCTTGTGGTCTTTGATCAATGATATCTCGGACACATTATGAGCGTTCAGTAATTATCTATCACGCTCATCTCAATGATCGCGCCCTTTGCGCGTGAACCAAACAAACGCTACCCCCAACGCTCTTTCAAGGACGGCGTTATCGCCTCGGAGGATGACAGAAAATCTGCCTGACTATGGTCAGGAGTGATAGCAGCAGCTCGACCTTCATGTGGTCTGAGGAGCCCGTGACGGGAGACTGCAGTTATTCACAATTTGTGCAGATCTGGCAGCCGATCGCCGTGCCTGGAAACGTGTATCTGAGACATTGCCGGAGCCAACCAATCCTGTCGTAGGAGTAATCCGAAAAAATGCTGTTCTTCCCTCCAAATTCGTGTCAGACTTCGACCCGACAAAGGAGTTTGAAAGTGAATGCCGATAAAGTACGATGCTCGTGACTCATCTTCCATGATGAGGTCCACATGATCTCCCCTGCTCGTGGTTGGGGGCGCTGCAAAACACGGTCACATGAATTTCAATGGCTTCTTGTTTTCAGTTTCCATCGAGAATGTCTGTCTAGGCTTGGGCAACCTGACAGTATCCCAGCCCTCGTGCTTCCTTTGGGTGGCATGGCAGCCAGGCACCAAAAGGGTGTTACAGCTGAATGGGTTTTTTAGTTCGCTGAAAACATGCTACACCGTTTGTGACATTGAAGGATATGCGAAGAAACTGAAACAGACCACTACATGCTTCGAATGCGGTAAAAGGTTTATCGGATGTAGGGATGGGACTTAATGGTAAACAGACAAGACGTCTAGTGCACTGTAGACTTCGTAGTGCGAAATCTTCCCCATCATTTTGTTCAGGCGTGGCAGCTATGTGAACCGGTTGATAGTTTGGCTGTAGTCAACAACCATCCGGCGTTTGTGATTGACATTCTTGGTAACCAACACCTTCGCTCTCCAGGGACACGTTAATGACTCGACAATGCCTTCTTGCAATAAGCGATCAACTTCGACGCGAATGAATTCTTCATTACTCGGATGATGTCGTCTTGATTTGCTGGCAACAGGCTTGCAATCTGCAGATGAGTTGGCGAAAAGTGATGGTGATTTAATGTTCATTGCCGTTAGGCCGCGAATGGTGAGCGTATCACGATTCCCGCTGAAAGAAATTTCTATCTTTCCATGTAGACCTAGGAAATCGTGCCCGAGTAGAACGTCGGTGCAGAGGTCTGACATCACAAAGAGCTTCAGTTCATTGTACGATGTACTTCTGTATCGGACAGAAACCCAAGGGTAGCCGGCCGTTCGACAGGGTATTGATGTAGACGTTATTATGACGTCTGAGAATGTTGGGTAAATTTTCCGATTATGTAGTTTCACGACGTTGGAACTAATGAAGCTACAAGAACTTCCTGTATTGACCAAAGCACGGAGAGTGATGCCATTGGCTTCGATCGTTGTGATGGGACGCGCCAGACAGGTAGGTGCTGCTGCAACGAATAACGACGACAAAGTGGACCTCATCGTGCAATCTGTATTGAAATTGGTGGTATTTTTCGAACGGCATACGCGGTGGAAGTGACCATGTTTATCAAAAAGATTACAAACTGCTTCTAGAGCGGGGCATTTCGAGCGAGAATGTCCATCATAACCACAGAAATAACATGCTTTAACGAATTTTACAGAAGCAGTGGTCGAATTGACACGTATTTTGAGATCCTGTGAAATGGACGGAATCGTTGTGCAGGATATAGGTTCGTTACTAAACTATGATTGCTACTATTTGTGGGCCAACTCGAGGGATCTAACAAGCCTATATACCCGGTTCAGAGTTAGCGCTGTGCCAGAAGTCTTCACGAATGGGCGAGGACGCCAGATCATTACTTATAGCATCATGTACGCGTTCATCTTGAAATTCAGTTGCAGATACTGACTTAAACTCACAGGCTTTGGCTAATGATTTCAATTTTCGTACGAAATTATCAATATTCTGTCCGTACTCTTGCTTGTAGGTCTGTAGCAGGTATCGTGTGTATACAACGTTTTTAAGTGGTCCTATACTTTCCGTAACGTGTAGACCACAGATTCATGGTCGTTGTAATCAGCGAAGTGATCGTATACCAGCGGGTTCAAAAGTGGGTGAGAGTTTCAAGTTTGTCGGATTTAGAAGATTCGACAGTTTTCAGATAGGTGTCAAAGGTATGAAACCAGTGATTCCAACGTTTTGCTGCATCTGTGGAGTTTGGGTCAGCGTCCAAAAGCCGAGGTCGTAATTGCGGGTCCATTGTATTCTCAAACAAGTGAATTGAGACAGTGTCCGAGAACGAGTTGGAAGAGTGTTCAATTTATCGATGATAAACAGCGTCTTCTTTATCTAAGTACAAGCATAGAAGAGCTGAAATGTACCTACAAAGATTTACTGTAAATCCATAGAGCAATTATAATAATAAGCAGATACGAATCATGACACACGTTTAGGTGCCTTATCTCACCCTTGAAACCGTGCAGCAATGAAAACCCATTGCGGAAAGCTTCGTTTAGCTCGGTATGAATAAGTACGTCTGAAAATGGGCACTTTCCTGTCTCATGCAAACGCTCAAAATCACGCCGCCACACAATGAATCCATTTGGTAGCACTCCCAAGTTATACTGATTTTTTTTTTCATTTTTCCCGCACTCTCGGGGCTTCACCCCCATTCAGATGTAGGTAAATTGAAGTATTGCTTATGGCCTTTCTGGACATGCGCCATTATTTGAGGTTGTACATGAAGTGTACATCAACCTTAGTCGCATATGGCGCTACCTTGCGTTTGCCGGCGGATCTTTTTACTACCACTCCACCGAGAACGTCTGATCGTGCATCCCACCCAGCCACATGAGCTGTCTGCGTCATGCGTCCACACGGCCTCCAGCCACCGTCTTGTGTGTGACACCAGAATTGTTGTAAACCACGTATTCCTACGTTGTGGTGCATACTAACTCCCCATCCAGACATTTTATTCTATTGTCCATCAGGTATGACGTTCTTGAAAAGCGTTCGTAACTGACCGCGAAGTCTACCTAAAACTGATAGCGCTGACCCACCGAAATCAGCTCACCTGAAATATGCTAGTCTTTCACCCCCGATCCCCAGACCAGCATTCCGGTTACAGGGAGAATAGAGTCCCGATTGATACCCATCATCTCCCAACCACACCAAGTCTTATCGACCTTTAATATCCTCATCCCTTTATTTAGATTTTTTATGCGGCATGTGACGCATTTGTTTGTTGTTTTTACCACCCATTTTGTACAGATATTAGTCCCCTCCGGAATCTCACTTCCCAGTGCCTGTCGAACTCCAATTTTACATACTAGTGTGCCCAAACAAGGCCGTTGAAATCGAACGCCTTGCATGCTTGTTCCGTTTTTTGCCCATTCGGGTGCTCAGTTTCACCACGGATGCTGATGATCCTGGTCAGCAGTCAAGAAGACGTGGGAGACGCAGTTTGGTAGCACCAAGTGGGAAATTACCTGTCCTATTACAGGTCTTTCCCAGGATAGGTGGTCTCCGCGTGGCTGCCTGACGGTGTGTCCCATTGAAAAGTGACCAAATAGAGTAAATGATTGCAACAAATGCGCTCATTTGCAAATCAGTTTGGTTTTCATGGGAGACTCAAGTGAATCTCTCGTTTTAGAAAATATTCACACAGGCCGCCTCATGTTTCAGTTGGTACGATAAGAGTGAGAAACCGAGAAACCGATGGGTCAAGGATGAGACTAATCAGTATTCTTGCATAGTAAAAACAGCTCTAGTCAGTTGGTTGCCAGTCCTTTCGTCCCCCGACATAAAGACAACAAATGGATTGTGGATGACTACTAAGAATACAAAAGGCGTTGGATAAAACTATATGAAATTCAATTTTCGTTGAATGAACTCTGCCTCGACTTGCTGACGTTTGCCGACGCTTTGTTGTCTTCGGATATCCTCAACTAGAAAATCCACTTGCCTGCTTGCCTCTTTTCTAAAGCTGCTTGTTCGATGGCGATGACTGAGGGTTGTGACATCCTCTAATAAGTGACAGTTTGAGGGCTCAACTAACCGGAAACCTGTGAAACAAGACTGATTGAGTGAATACCCTGTGGTTTCTTGTTCACACTGGGCAAAAATCAAATGCTGTCGGCGTAGTCTATGAAGTCATGATGTCCACTGAGGGTGGTATTTTAACCCGTTATTCAGAGGCAGAACCTTACCGTGACGTGACGGTTTGCGCGCCTCCATGCCCTATTGAGCTATAGGGTAGGATATCCGTTTGACACCTAGGCAGCATGCCAGTTTGGTCGGTTCATAAAGGTCTGACAATCCGGGTAAGGGTTGATACTTCTGTAGTCTGGTTGTTAAGCCAAAAGCCGTAGTTAGTTAGATTAACCACTCTGTTATCTAGGTCTGGTGCCTTGTTGGCGTACAAACAGAGATAATTAAGCACAATTTTGCTTCTTGTGAGGCTTCCTCAGCCTGATCGCTGTTTGCAGCACACCGCAGGAGAGGTGGAGAAATACAAGCCACAGTTGACGCTTTCCCTTCCTCCCACTATTCTCTTGATATTATTTCGGCAGTTTCATCCTTTGAGACTGAAGACATCAGTTGTCTCCCATCAGTTCTACCACGAATCAATCTTCAAGACTCGGTGCCTCATTTTTCTGACTGTTTTTAGTTTTCATACTGAAGCAAGCAGAAAAACAGGCCGCGCTGGCTCACACATGAAAGTCGTTTGACAGTGATGCATTTCAGCGCAACAAAAGTTCAGGATCCGAGTAGAATCGTCAAGTTGACTGTTCGCTTGTTCTACATTTGATTTGGGCTGCGCTCCTCTAGCAATCCGGAGGTCGCTACGACAGGCTCTGCAGAAGACGGTATCGTTCTTATCTTCGAAGACGAAAAGAATACACAAATCGCTTAATCGGCCAAAGTTGTCGCGTTCTCTGAAATGCGCTTTGCACCCATTAAGTGTACAATCATGCCAGTGGATATTCAGCTACTTAGAGCACCACTTACAATTCAAGGCGAGATTCAAAGTCCCGCAACTTCTTACATATATTGGAAACTATTAATATGCATATACATTTGCAAGCATGGTTTTGGATGGTCCCTGCAAGTAGCAGACCTGATGCCCCCAGACCTCTGATAAGTGGGTATGTCACAATTCAAGAGTTGATGATCTTCCAACTTTATCCTATAGCACATGTATTCATTGTCTTTTGTCCTGCATAACTAATATTATGGTTAAACTACATCTGTCGTGTGCGCCTGTGTTACAACACGTTAGTGAATTCCCGCTCAGCTTGTATAGTGCGATTTTGCAGCAGCAGTCACTGCTTTCCAATTTTCTTTTCAGTTGGTTCCATTTTCCTGTTTTCCAGAACTTTCCGCGAAGTCTCCATGTTGAATCATTTGCTAACAACCTCGAATTCCAAGAATGGGGGCCCCCATCAAAGCAATGACAGTCACGAACTAGACTTTCTTCCGGGTCCTCTTCGAAATTTTTTGGGTCCCCGAAGTGACAAATCAACAACGGCACCGGATACCTCCACTACGACCGCAACACTGGAAGTTGAATCGCAAGGCATACTGTCTTCGTGGTTTACCCAATCTGATACTGACCCATTGATGCCAAAAGCATTCTCTCGGCGCCAGCGGCTTCTGGGTTTTGTTCTTTGTCTGCTGGCTGCTTCTTTTTGTCTTTGTCTGGCGATGGCATTTCTGCCACTAATTGGCACACCTTTCGGAATTAGAAAATATGTGCTGCTTCATACTGTGGGGAGCGTTTTGTTAATTGGTAGCTTTTCGTTTCTCTGGGGACCTTGGAATCATTTGAAAAGTATGTTTTCTCGGGAACGCTTGGCATTTACGCTGTGTTTCTTATTCAGCCTGTTTGCTGGCCTTTACGCAGTCCTCGTCTGGCACAGCGCTATGTGTGCTGGCCTTGCTCTATTAATACAGATTTCTCTTATATGTTGGCAAATCGTCGACAGTATACCAGGCGGACAAGCTGGTCTCAGGGCCATTGCCCGTGGTGGTTACTGGACTGTAAAAGGAGTTGCCAGAGGACTGCCTGTATAGCAAATATCTTCGTTTATCGTGAGCTATCTGCTGTGATCTCTATTTTCAGTCCGTATTCTTTTCACTTGGAATAACACTTTTTCAAGTTTCCCCTAATGTAACTACCATTACAAGTTCCCACTAATTTCACGTAACCCATGCACTCTTCTGAAACCCGCACAGGGCGCCCTAAGAAATAGGTCAAAAAAATTGCAATTCGCTCCATACATTATCCCTACATAGAAGATCCCATCAGATGTTCCCAAGAATGATGGTAGGGACTTGGGTGGTGTGCAGTGGATTTGCTCTGT